TGAGTCCATAAACTCATCAATCTGACATGTATCTTCACCAAAACATAGACCCGTATCAGCGATACCCTTCATGTACCTCAAGACCCATTTTACTGCTTCCTAATATGCCTTTCCCGGATTCGCTATGAACCTACTAACGACACTGACTGCCTGTGAAATATCTAAACGTATACACACCATTGCATACATTAAACTGTCAACTGTACTAGCATAAACCATAAGGTACACACTCCATGTGTGCCTTCTCTTCCGTTGTAGTGGGAGATTGTTTACCTAAGAGTTTAAAGTGTGGAGCTAATGGAGTCATCACCGACTTAGCACTTCGCATCCCAAACCTTGCGATAACCCGCTCAATGTAGTCTTTCTGACTCAAAACAATTGCCGATTTGCTCTCTCTGTTCTAATCTTCATATCCAGTATTTTCTTAGCAACGTCTATGTCTTTCATCTCAAACTCTTTACCAAGTTAAGATTTCAACCTATCTATCTCCATCTTGCTTCTCAAAGCAATAAGCATGTCATCCACATACAAAAAAAGATAGATATAATCACCTCCACGAAGTTTCCGAATGTAGACATAATAATCATAGTCGCTTCTGGAAAACCCTTACTTCAACATGAAGGAGTCAAATCGCTTGTATCACTGCCGAAGAGATTGCTTCAATCCATAAAGCGACTTCCTCAAGCGACATACATGATGCTCTTTATCCTCAACCTTGTAGCTTTCAGATTGATGCATATAGATCTCTTCATCCAAGTCTCTGTGTAAGAAGACCGTTTTGACATCAAGTTGTTCCAGCTCAAGATCACCATGAGCAACAATACTCAATAGCACCCGAATAGAAGTGTGTTTCACCACCAGAGAAAATATCTCATAGTAATCCACACCCTCTTTTTGTGCAAACCTCTTAGCCCTTAGCCTAGCCTTGTACATTACACCACCGAGCTCTAAAGGATCCTCCTTTCTTTTATACACTCACTTACAACCAATAGCTTTTCTCCCTACGGGCAATGAAATCACCTCTTATGTTTGGTTTTTCTGGAGAAATTATATTTCCTCCTCCATCACAACCAACCAACTCTCACTATCTCTATTTCAAATAGCTTCCTTGAAAGTGACCGACTCATCATCCTCCACCGAGAGTGCGTATTCAACCAAATTAACCTGCACATAATGCTTCAGAGGTTGATCAGATCCCAACTTTAATACCTGTTTGTATGCTCGCTTTGGCCTAGTAGAAGTCAAACTATCCTTGAGCTGTTGCTGTTGCAGTGCCTGTGTATTTTCCTACTGAACCTCCTCCTGTTCAAGCCCATCATCTTCATGATCCTCCTCTTGAACATGACTAGAAGTCTAGAACCTGGTTGGTCCTTAGGTTCTATTTCAATCACCTTGGATTTTAAAGTCCCAACAATCCTAACACCATCATACTTAGGCGCCCTAGCAATCATGGATTTCTCATCAAAAGTAACATCTTTGCTGATCATGAACTTTGAATCTTCTGTACAACAAAGACGATAGCCTTTTACACCCCTTACATACTCCAAAAATATTACCTTCTTGACCCTCGCGTCAAGCTTTACCTCGTTGACGTGATAGTAGATGGTACACCCAAAAATCCTAAGCCTATCATAATCTGCATGCTCGACTGACCATACCCTATAAGATGTATCACCATCCAATGTCGAATGTGGAGAACAGTTCACAATGTAACAAGCTGTAGTCACCGTTTCTGCCCATCATTCTTTGTCCAATCCAGCATATGATCGCGTACTCATTGCTTTCTTCCGCAATGTTCGATTCAGCCTTTCTGCAACTCCATTCTGCTGTGATGTAGATCTGTCTGTGCAGTGTCTAGCAATGCCCTCCTGATCACAGAACTCTTTGAAAGCACCATGTGTATACTCTATACAGTTGTTAGATCTTAGTATCTTTAATTTTTTTTTCCTGTCCTGTTCTCAACCATTGCCTTCCACTTCTTTTGAATGTCTCGAACACCTCATGCTTATGTTTCAGAAAATAAATCCAAGCATACCTAAAATAATCATCTATAAATGAGATAAAATATCTGGAATCACCCTTGAAAGTTGGCGGAGCCGGACCCCACACATCTGTGTGCACATAATCTAATATACTCTTATGCTTGCTTCTAAAAAACTAGACCCTGTGCGTCTTTTCGTACATACAATCCTCCCAAAGTTCCATACAAGGTTGCTTCAGATTCTTTAGCAAACCCTCTTTACCAAGCAAATCTAAACCCTTCTCTGACATGTGTCTAAACCGCCTATGTCATAACCGTGTGTGCTCACATGGGTCTCCACCACTTCCATCAGTTCCAACTACATTCACTGTCACCACGTACCCGAGAGAGTATATAGATTACTGTGACAAACACCCTTCATCACTACTAGGGAACCCCGAATAACCTACTTCACTCTGTTCTCTGTAACAATCTTGCAGTCACCGGAGTCCAAAACATCAACTAAGATAAGATTCTTTCGCAAGTTGGTAACGTACCTCATATCTGTCAGGGTTCTGACCACTCCATCATGCATCTTGATTTTGATATCACCTAGTTCCACCGTTTTACAAGCATGATTGTTCCTCATCAGTATGGTTTCACCGTCAATATTTCTGTAGGTAGTAAACTGCTTCTTATTTGGGCACATATGATAAGAGCAACCCGAATCAATAATCTATTTCCCGGAGATATCATCACCACCCGTGACGATATAGCATTTTTTCTCGCTCCCTTCCTTTGAAACGTAGCTCGCCTCTTCCTTACCTTCTCTCCTCTCAGTTTTGTTGTTATTCTTTCCACCTACTCTCTTGTTAGGACAATCGATCTTGAAATGCCTTAGCTCATCGCATTTGAAATACGATCTTCATGCATGAGATCTCGATTTTGATCTAGACTTTCCTCCCTTACCTTTTCCTCGCTCATTGACCCTTCCTCTAGCAAATAGTCACTGAGCTTGCTCCTTGTTACCACTAGTGGTCATGTCACTAGTTGCAACTTTCCGAAGATCATCCATCAGAAGTGTCGTTGTAGTCTCATCCATCTTTAAATTATCACCCACAAGCATCAGTGTTTGAACCAGATTTTCATAGGACTTAAGTAAAGAAAGAAGTAGTAGAAGCGCTTGATCCTCATATTCTACTGTCACATCAATGTCCTTCAAGTCCTATATGATCCTATCAAACCTGTTGATATACTCCCGGATTGATGAGTCTTCCTCCATCTTACATGTACACAATTTGGACTTTAAGTAGATCCGATTAGTTAGACTCTTCGTCATGAAAGTACTCTCTAATTTTGACCACACACCCGCAGCCGTTTCCTCTCCATCCATCAAGAAAGCTACATCCCTCTCAAGGCATAGAATAATCGATACTCGTGCTTCGAGATCTAACTCTTTACAATCCTCATCTGACATATATTTATGCTTCTTCTCTTTTCCTATCAAAGCCTTGTGCAATTTCTGCGAAATCAATGAGTTTTTCATCTACATCCTCCAATAGGAAAAATCATTCTTCCCATTGAATTTTTCGATCTCATACTTTCTCACTTTAACTGTTTTACTTGTAGACGTCATTCTCCACTTGTTTTAGTAAACCGCTTCTCTCAGGAAATCCAACAAATATCTTGTGTGCACCACACAATACCCAAAACACCACCTCAAATTGGGAGCTTTACCACTGTCAATCTGATCAAGGGGCTTTGATACTAATTGTTGGGCGTAGAATCACGCCCTCACACTGCGAAAACGATATAACCTGAGAGAAAACCCTGACTTTTATTTTCACAAAAGCTCAAGTCAACATCTATATTCTCGTTTCACAAAGGAAACAAGAACAGAAGTAATATATCTCAACAAGATAAGATATGCACTCTTCTCAATATCAGATCTAGGTCTGAATATCGAGGAAACCAACAAGCAATAACCAACACAGAGAAAATAAGTGAGACACGAGATTTACGTGGTTCGACGAACTTGCCTACGTCCACGAGAATACCGATGACTTGTACAACCCACAAGCTCATCGCAAAGATAAAGCTTTGATTTTTACCCAAAAGAAATTGACCTCTCTTGTAAAATCTCTCCAAGCTCTCTCTTTTTCTCTCCTCAAGATCTCACCTTTTAGATCTGAAAAACTCTATGTTTTTTCTCTCAAAACAGCTGCCAAAAACCCTTAGAAAATCCTAGGAACGAGTTCCTATTTATACCAAGCAAACAGGGCCCAAAACCACAGGAAAAAAGCCCAAAACGCTCTCGGGTGAGGCACTGTTCACTGTCTCGGGTGTTCATCGTCTCGCACTGTTTACGTTCACAAATATACATATACTAGAAGCGTTGATCAATATGTTAAAAAGGTTGCAGCTTGCATTTATATAGAAAAAAAAATCTCTACAAGCCACTAACAAAAAAATGAGTTCAGTGCGTCCTTCACACAAGCTCAAAGTTCAAGCTGCACAAACAGCTCTTTGCCCGAGCTTGTACACCCCTAATTCTGTATAATTCAGGCTCAAGTTAAGCCCATTATCCCCCGAAAATAAACCAATCAAGCTTGAGCAAGTCAAAAACTCAATTTAACTTGTTTACACTCCTACTGCAATGCAACGCATTACACAAAGTCTCCCAGTTTTTGGGCATCGCTCCAATGTACATCAAGTTTCAAATAAATTTGAATAAAAACTCGTGGAACTCCATTTTCTACTGCAAGAACCCAAATTGGCGATGGTGCTTCACTTACGCATACAGTCCTTTTAAGTCGAACCGTTTTCTAGCATTCGTTTAATATATCAATGGGAAATGGGTGTATCCATATTTTTTTTTGTTTGATCATTAAATATCCATTCAATTCTTCAGATTTTACTTTCCGATCAAACAGATTTTGCATACGAATACAAATATATGATTACCCTAATTAAAAGACAAACATATACAAAAAGGGGAAAAGGGGCAAGAATTAATAAAATATGAATACACCAAAGATACCATCATGAGGACTTTAGCGAAGAGGGCGACGGCGACGGCGGTGAGGACCATGGGCATGGGACTCGGGCACCGGCACGAAGAATTCGTCTCGTGTCGGATCCCTTCTCCTCCTCCTTCTACGCTCCCTTTCACTGATACGGAACCGCAGTATGTCGCTCGGCGCGTCGGCCGTAGCAGCGCGTATCGGTCGGCCGGCACGGAGAATGGATCGGAGCATTTGTAACGGTGCGCGGTCGGTGGCTGTCGATTTCTTGGCGAAGAGGACAGACGCCTAGAGAGATCACTAGATGGCCCGACTGTTGGGGAATTTGGATCCAGTTAATATGAGGCCTATATAACCTGGGCCGGTACCTAGTCCCAAATTTAATAATCTGTTCTAGTCTGTAAGGGGCTGTTTGGTTGAAGGCTTGAAGCAAAATTTTGGAATTTAAGGTAGCTTACGAATTTTAGGATAAAAAAGTGATTTTTTTTTTTTTTTGTATTTTGCGATTTTATATTTGGTGTTTGTTTCGAGAAAATTTCTGGAATGTTGAATCCCAAAAATATAAAGAAACACTCAATTTTTAGAATTTGTCAAGTCCTATTAATTGGAGAGGATTTCGCAAATCCTATAAATGGACATGTTTACCTCTCTTTTTACACACTTGTATTTTATTTTTTTGTGGAGGTAACCACATCAAGTTAAGTATATTCACCTCTTCTTCTTTTCAAGAATTTGTTATCCTATTACTTGTGTTTGAATCAAACAAAATAATACAAATTTTGGAATTTGCTTTTCTATAATAATGTTGAACCAAACAAAATATTTAAAATTTCAAAGCATGTATAAAACCTAGGATTTAAAATTTTCCATGAGATTACTAGTCCTAAAATTTTGACATTTAAACTAAACAGCCCCTAAAGCTAAGGGTTATTAGCATATATACCCTTAAAAATCATGGGTATCTATAAACTAACCTCTAAATCTCAGTATTTGCAAAGCTACCCCACAAATTATATTTTTTAAATTAGTCCTAAAGCAATTAATCATCAACTTTGATAAGCTAATTTGTAATAGCAATATAAAAATTATCAACAAAATAGTCAATTTTTTAGCACCAAGTTGATGATTTGCTAATTTTAGGGTATTTTTTTCACCAAGTTGATGATTTGCTGATTTTAGGGTATTTTTTCACCAAGTTGATGATTTCAGGAGTAATTTTTTAAATACTAAGATCTAGGGGTACCCTTGATTTAAGGGATATACATGTCGCTCCTGCAATAATAAAGAGAGGGGCATAGTTACGATATCTCTGAATCCTATCTTTGATAAAGCAGTAGGGGATTCTCAAGCTCTATGCCATCTTATTATATATACCTCTTTCTCCCTAGGGTCTTCGACTAGGGTCAAAGGGATCTATTATTCTAACGAAATCACCCATTAGAGCCACCGTTAACCATTGGTCGTTGAGACGTATTCTCAAAAGACCTATATCTACCGATGTGGCAATAGGAGCGTGGTTTGGTAATATAGCAATTTGGGCACTATTAGTAGATAAAATTCTTTCTTTTATTTCTGAATCCCAAATAATTCGATTAGGAATCAGTACACAAAGATTTAAGGTCATAGCTTTCGCAGATGTAAATAACCATAAAGTAATTGTGAGGCAAAAAAAAGTGGAGGATTGAGTTTTTATTCCTTCGATTTCATAAAGAATCAGAGGTCATTTTACTAAAAGATGATGGTAGCCTAGTCACTTATCAACATCTTGTTGGTTCCTTCTCTCACTCTCCTCTTTCTACAAGGTTCCATAACTTTCAATTCCTCTCTCTCTTTTTCAAATTTAAAATTTTCTCCTCTCTCTAAAAGGTTTCGTTGCTTTTGTTCCTCTATCTCCTCAGATTTAAATTTTCATGCATGACTTTAAAAATCATATAATTTTTAAAAAATAAATAAATATGCAAGACAATATAAACTAGGTAGCAACATATTATAAATAAGAGTCTCAATTAACATATATATAATATATACTTAAAAACATATTTAATTATATTAAAAATAAACCTAATTGTACTAAAAATATATTTAATAACTAAAAAACCTTTTTATAGTTTTGTCATAATAATTTTTTTTTAAAATTGGATTAATTTTCTTACGTATAAGCTTTTGTTGCTTCAACCAAATCTTTATGTGCATCCTCATCGAAGAAATAGCGAGCACAGCGACGAAGACCGTAGGAAAAGATGAAGAACAGGTTTTGAGTGCTGTGCGGTCGACCGCGTGTGGCACGGCGGTCGACCACAAACATGCACGATGATGAGTTCTGTTCTATATCAGGTCGCGGTCGACCGCGCGTGGCGCGACGGTCGACCGCTAAAATTCCAAAGACTCAGGAAAGTTTTTCGCGGTCGACTGTGCCTGACGCGACGATCGACCGCGAGTCGGGTCTGAGTTGGGTTGTTGGTTTTCTGACCCGTTTTGTTTTGAGTTGATATATATTCCTAATGCTGATTAATTAGGGTTAAGCAATGACGTTTTGAGCAGTTTTTGAGAGGGGATTGTTGCATCTAATTGTGGGTGATTTGTAAGAGATCTAGAGGCTTTGTTTTAGGGTTTATTTGGTGAGATTTGTAACTCATTCTCTTGATTTCTAATAGTAAGAACTCCCACCTCCTTGCCCCGTGGACGTAGGTAACTTGTCGAACCACGTAAAATTCGTTTGTCTTGATGCATGTGGTATTGTGTTTAGCTTATTGGTTGTGATTTATCTCGTTCTTGTTCGTATGATTTCGAGCTCCGCTGCGCACAACAAGTGGTATCGGAACTTCAGGTTTGGCTTGAGGCTTGTTCGAAGGATTCGCTGAAGGATTCCTATTTGAAGAGTTAGATCGACAATATAGGAGAAGCAAGCACATCCGGTTCATCTCTTACGAAGGCGATACAGAGTCTGAGCATCAATAATACGAAGATTGATGTTCCGAAGTTCGACGGTAAGATTAATTTTGGTTTGTGGAGGTGCCAGGTGATGGATGCATTAGATGCACAAAATTTGGAGGAGACTCTTGAGTTACAAGAGAAACCCGCTGACATGGAAGACAAGGTTTGGAAAAAGATGAATAGTAGGGCTTGTGGAATTATTCGGTCATACTTGATGTCAAATCTTATTTATGAAAATAAGACGTCGACGAAGAGAATGTGGGAAACACTCAATGAGAAGTATCTTATGAAGAGCATTAAGAATCAGCTTCACTTGAAGAAGAGGTTTTACCAGTTCAAGATAAAGAGTGGAGTTTTTATTAGGGAGCATGTAAACAACTTCACGAAGCTACTTTCAGATATGACCAATGTAGACATCATGGTTGAGGATGAAGATAAGGTGATGCTACTTTTGTGTTCGTTGCCAGAGGATGATTATGGTATGTTCGTTCTCACTATGATCAATGGAAGAACTACTGTTAGCTACAAGAGGTGACCTCGGTGTTGGTAAATTATAAACTGAGGAAGAGTGATGGCGAGCCCTCCGAGAAGGCATCGGGAGATACATTAGCAATTCGAGGCCGTAGTCCAAATCACTACCAAGTCAACCGTTCAAAATCAAAGAATAGAGGTGCCTATAAGAGTGTTGGTAGAAATCAATGTTGGTATTGTAAAGAAGAAGAACATTGGAAGATTGACTGCCTAAAGTGGAAGGAAAAAGCCGGGAAGAATAAGGGAAAAGTTGTACAAGCTTCATAAGTGAATGTTACAAAAGGTGTTGGCGAACATTCAGATTCAGATTTTTCGAGCTATTCGTGTCCTACACTACCGTTAGTTTGCTATGCCGACTCTACGGAGTGGATGTTGTATTCAGGAGCCACATATCACATTTTCCCTAGGAGGGATTGGTTCTCTAGCTTCGAGGAGCTCGAAAGAGGGGATGTCATGCTTATGGGAAATGACCACGTATATCCTATTGGTGGTATTGGTTCAGTCCGGATCAGGATGCATGATGGTATGGTGAGGGAGTTGAAAGAAGTGAGGTTCGTGCGTAGTTGACAAAGAACATCATTTCTCTTGGTACTTTGGAGGCAGTTGGTTATCAAGTGACCTTAGAGGATGCTACCGAGAAGGTCACGAAGGGTTCTATGATGGTGATGAGAGGAGTCAGGGAAAACTTCCTATACGACTTGAAGGGCAAGACTGTTACAAAGGGTATGGTAGCTTCTATCACTACAGAGGAGGACACTACCACTCTAAGGCACACGAGATTAGGACACACAGGCGATAAGTCTCTGCAATCATTAGCGAAACAATGGCTATTAAAAGGTGCTAAAACCTACAAGATGGAGTTGTGTGAGCATTGTGTACCTGAGAAGAAGACTAGAGTAAAGTTTGGCACCGCTATTCATAACACTCAAGGTATATTGGATTACCTTCACACAGATATTTGGGGCCCTTCCAAGAACAAATCACTTGGTGGGGCTAACTATTTTATCACTTTTATTTATGACTATTCCAGGAGGAAATGAGTATACCCTATGAAGCATAAACATAAGATCCTGGATATTTTTATGAAGTGGAAGAAGAAAGTGGAGCTGTAGACATGTAGAAAGCTGAAGACTCTACGTTTAGATAATGATGGAGAGTATATGAGTAATCCGTTTCTGTAGTTTTGTTGGGATCATGATATTAGGCGACACTTTACAGTTCAAGAGACACCGTAACAGAACAGGATAGCTGAGAGATTGAACCATACCTGGCTGGAGAAGGTGCGATGTATGATGACGTAGAGTGGATTGCCTAGATCCTTTTGGGCCGAGGCGTTGGTTTATGCGAACCATCTCGTGAATAGGTTGTCGTGCACTGCGATACAGGGGAAGACTCCTTTGGAGCATTGGTCTGGTTCGGTAGCTAGTGACTATGAGTCACTTCGAATATTTGAGTGTCATGCTTATTACCATGTTAGTGATGATAAATTGAATCCGAAGGCGAGGAAAGCAGTCTTTGTGGGATTTAGAGATGGAGTTAAAAGCTTCAAGTTATGGGATCCACAGGACAAGAAGATAGTTATTAGCAGGAATATCACATTTGATGAGACGTACATGATGATGCCTCAAGTTCCTCGGTAGGTGGAGGAAGACCAGATTCGAGAGATATCATAGCAGGTGGAGGATGATGTGACTCCACCCACTCCAGATAGTATTATATCCATTGAGGCTCCTACAGAGGTGACACCGGGAGGAGATGGGATGACAACCGGGCAGATAGAGGATACAGTGGATTATGAGACTTAGGACCAGGGTCATGTTCAGGAGTCTATTGTAACGAATAGATCT